AAATTGAAGAATTTTTAAGTGTTTTTTTTATTAAAAAACCATCTCCTATTTAATAGTGCAATCCAAAAATATTTTCCGATCAATCGAAGTTGCAAACAATATACCGATTTAGTATTATTTTAGTTGCATCCATTTTACTTGAGATCGTTGATACTAAGAAACACGGTTTTGCGGTATTTGAGTAATTCTCTGTAGAGTTTATCTGTGCTGAGAACTAGTCAAGTTAAATGTTAAAAATGTCATTTTTTTAAAATACAAATGCTAATTTATTCAAAACGCCAATAGAAACGAGTTTCGAAATTTCATTTTCACTTGTGTCTGAATCAATTGAATGTGTGCAATTAGATACGACGTTAGTTTATATCATTTATTTATTGATTTGTTAGCTTATGATATTTTCTACTGATCATAGCTAGAGACCGTTCTCTTAACAACTAAAAAAAAACAAAGAAAAAAAAATCTATACCGAAGCTCACATCGTACTTTAATTAACCCTTCTTTTTATAATTAAAAAGCACCATGTTATGCAACCAAGGAACGCTTCCCTTTGTACAACAGCGGAATGAAGTAAATATCTCTGAGTTAAAATACGCTTGTGCTTTTATAATTTGTTTGATATTAGATCTGTTAAAAGTGGTAGCTATAGATCATTTAATTGTAGCTATAAAGATATGTTAAATTGTAGATGTAATATAAAATTACAAGAGAGTTGTATGTAGCTTCTGTACATTTTCCATTAATTAAATGTTTTGAACAATGTGGTTAGAAAAAAAGTTAAACAGGTACATTTTCTTTGAATTTAGTGAAAAAAAAATAAGTTAAATAGCGATATTATTCTAAATTATGTTTTTTTACTTTCTCGTATATACGAAGTATAGAGAAAGTCTTGTAATCGTGCAAAAAAAAAAAATCGAGATTTTTGCAAATCTCGACGTTTTGCATCTCACTGATACGGAAAAACATATTTTTGCAATCTTGTCCGTATGTCTGTGTGTCTGTGTGTGTGTGTGTGTGTGTGTGTCCGTGTGTAAACACGATAACTTGAGTACCGTTACAGCTAGGTTGATGAAATTTCATATATAAGTATTTAATCAAAATCGTAGATCCGTATCAACTTTTGAGCGATTTCCGATAACCGGAAGTGGTACTTTTTCTACTTTGAATTTTTCAAAAGCCTATAACTTGAGTACTATTTCAGATAGATAAATGAAATTTCATACGTAAGTAAAAGATCTAATTCTCTACCTTCTATTAAATTTTGAGTAGTTTCCGTTGACTGGAAGTAGTACTTTACGCTACTTCCGATTTCTCAAAAAACTAATGTAAATTTTAAAAGTAATAATAATATTGCGCACTATTATGCGCTTTTTTATTTCGCGTTCACTTGGTGTGCAATTAATTTGTCTACGAGATTTTATTCTATTTTTAAAACTTTAAGTATTTAAAATGGATTAAAAATCATGTCTATAGCCCGAGTTCCCATCCCCTGTTATTTTATATAAGAATATTCGAGAAAGTTTAGGGGAGATCACTCCCGGTTTATTTCTTCTACGAAGCAATATTTCTTCAAATGATACAATGTGGGCGAAAATAACGATTTCTAGCTAGTTTTATTTAATTGTCGTCTCATACCATGTAATAACGTTTCATTGTAATTAATACTATAGGCCTTCATAAAATCTTAACTTTTGAATTGACCTATTGTCTAAAAGTATACAAAATGAATGTTATTAAACTATTAACAAACTTGAACAACACGTTCACTGCTAAAATAAATAATTTACTAACATTTTGTTTAAATCATCAAATCGTAAAGAAACATAACACGAATAGACCGAATGATGGAAACAAATATTAGGTCGTCCATGTAGATGACTAAAATCTTGTATCAGTTTGTTTTACAAGGTTTTAAAGAGTCTGATACCACAGACGTCTAACTTGGGTCGAAACTTGAAAACCGAAGTTTATTAACTTCTTCCGAACTGTTTTGTTGCAAACATGGTACGTTGACAACCAACACGATGTGGTGTGATTTAAAATTAATAATAAACATTACTGAGTTGACGAGAATCCTCCCACTATTAATGTTGACATGAACAAAAAGAACGTGTTTGTTTTTATTTTGCAATTAAAGCGACTATACAAATATTATGTTATAAAAACCTTAGCCTGAAAATAATTTAGAAATTTAATATTTTTAGAGTTAGCAGTTGCGAATCCAGAGAATTTTGAAAATAAATTTTGAGTTTAAGGCTACATTCCTATTTTTTTGTTTTTTCATCCAGTCTAAATTATAACTTGAATTTTCTCTGTCGTGAGAAAAAACATTGTTTGGTTCTACAAGAACTCCATGATTTGAAAGCCCAACTTAAAAACAAAACTCATAGTAATTTGTACACAAAACTTCGCCGGTACAATTTTTAATGTGTAGCCATTTTTGTTTTCAATTTCTGTGATAAATTTAATTGTTTTTGATTTTTTTTAGTTACCGAAAATACTATAAACATCAAAGATAAAAAAAGTCAGATTTTTATAACGATATATATTTTATTAACGTTTTACACTATTTTAAAAAATTCAATGGTCTATCCAAATTATTTAGAGGATATTCTGGGTTAAGTAAATTAGACGTTTTATTATTAGAAAATAATTACATTTTTCTGTTGAAAATTTTAACAGCTTCGCCCTTCTTCATGCACTCATTCGGTGAGTTAAATCGACGTGCATTTTATTTTTGGTTAATTGGTTACCTTAAAACTAAAAAAAAAATTATGTATCCCTATCGTGTATATTTCAAAATATTACACTTTTTTCCTGATGGTATTATTATAATTTACAGCTAATAATTACTAATTTATTAATTTAAAATAATTTTGTCATTTTTAGTCTAGACGCCAAATGCTCTGTCTCATCCAGTGATAACTATAAATAATTTGAATAACTTAATTTATAAATGTAACAATAATTTTAAAATCTTATTAAATATAACTTAATAAATAAAAACAACAATAATGTAAAAAAATTTATTAAATAATTCTATTTCAATCTTTTTTTACATAGTTAATTTAAAAAAAAAATGTTTTTCTAAACATCTGTGTTACTTTTTTTTTAAATTTATGAATATTTTATGCTAACTTGTTTGCCGTTTAGTAGATCTATGTGTTGTGGATCTTGTGGAAGCAAATATCAACACGTTCTATTATTTTGTCATTAACGTTAACATGGGTAAACACAATTGTGTTTTGTTTTGTATAGCTCTGTAGGATTTATATATTAACATAAACCGATTTAAGTCATAAAATGTTAATAAATACAGTTTTGTAGATATAATTAAAATATGAAAAATTGGAAACGTTTCACAAAATTTGAAATTGAGACAATTTTCCAAAAAAATAAAATAAATGAAAATAATAATATCTGCATTACAAAGCATCCTTTAAGATTAAAAATATCTCTTTATATTACCAAGCATAGTAACTTATCACTTATTATGCAGACAAAAGTTTATTGAAGTAAAAAAGTAAAAACAAAAGCGCATCATGAAATAGAAACAGTTTATTTAAAGTATAATGTACTACAGGAAATACATGAATACATATTAAAGTAAAATAAGAAAAGTTCTTGTCTTTGTTTACCATAAATGTTTATTACATCCTAACATTTAAAAAAATAATTTCAAATGTAAAATAAGGGCAAAAAATATTCATCGTAACTTATTTTGGCATGTCACCGATAAAATAAATAGCTGAAAAAAGTTTATTTAAAACACATATGGCTATATGTTTTGTAATTAACTAAACAATTTTAACATGAATGTTACATAATTATCGATTCATGTGTGTTTGTCTGTTACGTTGCGTCATCACAATCACATAACTCTACTAAATACACATTTTTTTCCTATATATGTAGTGCTACCTCACCTTATACACTGACGTTAACTACAAACAAATGCACATTTTTTCTCTATATGTAGGGCTACCTAACCTTATACACTGACGTTAACTACAAACAAATGCACATTTTTTCTCTATATGTAGGGCTACCTAAATGAAAATACTGGGATAAATAATGATCTAGTGCAGTGTTTATTTATAAACACAATGTAGACATTTTTAATTAATCTGAGCACCTTTTTTGATTGTGCCCAAGACACAAGAGACAGCGGATTAGTGTTCGTATGTTTGAATTATCTAGGCATACTGGGAAATACAGCGCTCTTATTTCATCAGGTGCACAAACAAATTCGGGTGGACTTAAGGACGTCCCACTAACTCCAGCCCGGGATCCGAACTTGATACTTTTAGGTTGACAGTCGTGAGCTCTACCTTCTAACCACGACATTCCGACATATTTTAATTAACAGGAACCTGAGTGGCCGTTACGCTTCACGAATCAGACGTCACGGTATACTAGTAGGTTTATCGTTATATTAAGGTCACAATATGTTAGGCTTAATACTAAGAACATTTTCATGGAACTGAAGTAACGCTACGCTTCATGATTGTATACAGGTAGGTCAGAGGCGTAGCGACCCTTCCCGGCGCCCGGTGACAAACTTTCAATTTGCACCCCCCTCCCCCTCAAACTTTCAATTTGCACCCCCCCCCCCCCATATTTGTTGTATATTTATAAAGCAAAACTGCAGCTAAAATGAGATTTTAATTTGTTTTTACAACCCATTTTGGCGCCCCTTAAGGTCGGCGCTCGGTGATATGTATCCCCCCCCCCCTTCCCCTCGCTACGCCTCTGAAGTAGGTGTCTTGTTGAAAGTGCCCGCTACGCCCATACATGCTAGGATATTGTACTACAAAACGGTGAGTACTTTTCGAAGCTTAGTCAATGGTGCAGGGGAGGTAAATTTAACCTGTTTCTGTGATCTCAGCTTATGACAAAACCAAGTCTTAAACAACTTTCTGTTGGTATTTTAAAACTTTACAATGGATATCTTTCTAATGTTATTTTTTGCTGAATTAACTTTTGTAAAACTCTGTTGACAGACCGGAGACGTGGTGTGCTCCATGATCAAAACATCTCGGACAAAACTGATCACAACATTTGGTGTCATAGCTGCCGATGGTGTTGTGGTTAATGGGCTGGTAAATAGGTGGTTGTGTGTCTGTGGGCCTGTGTGTGGTGTTATATGTGGCTGTGTGTGGTGTTATATGTGGCTGTGTGTGGTGTTATATGTGGCTGCGTGTGGCTGTGTGTGGTGTTATATGTGGCTGTGTGTGGTGTTATATGTGGCTGTGTGTGGTGTTATATGTGGTTGTGTGTGGTGTTATTTGTGGCTGTGTGCGGTGATATATGTGGCTGTGTGTGGTGTTATATGTGGCTGTGTGTGGTGTTATATGTGGCTGTGTGAGGTGTTATATGTGGCTGTGTGTGGTGTTATATGTGGCTGTGTGTGGTGTTATATGTGGCTGTGTGTGGTGTTATATGTGGCTGTGTGTGGTGTTATATGTGGCTGTGTGTGGTGTTATATGTGTCTGTGTGTGGTGTTATATGTGGGTGTGTGTGGTGATATATGTGGCTGTGTATGGTGTTATATGTGGGTGTGTGTGGTGTTATATGTGGCTGTGTGTGGTGTTATATGTGGCTGTGTGTGGTGTTATATGTGGCTGTGTGTGGTGTTATATGTGGCTGTGTGTGGTGTTATATGTGGCTGTGTATGGTGTGAGATTTGTCTATATGTGTGTCTGGATGTGATAGGAAATATGTGTATGAGTGGTGTAAAAATGGAGTCTAAACTATGGTAAAATTGTTAGTTGTGAGATATATTAAAATTGTCGTTGTGGTATGGTGTTTGTTGCTGGGTGATTTCCGGGATCCCAACATTAACTCAGTTAACCACATTGTTTTTGTAACACAAAATGTCTATTTAATCAAATTTTCTTCAATATTCCATGAAGCTACTCGTAGTGCAGCCATACACAATCTGAATTCCGAGTCAAGCTTTTTATCTCCCCTGTCTTCCTTCTATAATGTTCTATGGAACAATCTGATAAACTCGACCTAGTAGTCACCCCTTGTTAAACTCCATCGTTCCGTCACCATCAACAAACACAGACATCACACGATCTAGCTATACGTTATTCACACTTCTCGGCTTTAAATACATACACTCCACACGTTTGAAATATTTCAAAGAATCCACGGTAGTACAACATTAACTTCATTTTTGATTGTTTACTCTGTATTGTGAAAACTGCTATCGTTGACGTAATGATGAATACCACCAAAGATTTAAAAAAAAAACAGCTTGTTTGTTTACCCTGTATTGTGAAAACTGCTATTGTTGACGTAATGATGAATACCACCGAAGACTTTCTAAAAAACAAATTGAATTTATTTTCTCAGACGATGCTTGCTGATGGTCAAGATATTTTCACAGTCCTCAACGCTTCCAAATGTGAAACCATCTTAACATCTTGGAAAAGACCAGAGTTTATTTTTCTACAAAAGTTTTTAAAAATGGGGAAAAGTTTCCCATCATCCGAGTATGTATGGTGTTTCTAATTTAGAACTGACTGCTAATACTGACTTTGCTATGGTGTTTCTAATTTAGAGCTGACTGCTAATACGGACTTTGCTATGGTGTTTCTAATTTAGAGCTGACTGCTAATACTGACTTTGCTATGGTGTTTCTAATTTAGAGCTGACTGCTAATACTGACTTTGCTATGGTGTTTCTAATTTAGAGCTGACTGCTAATACTGACTTTGCTATGGTCTTTGTAATTTAGAGCTGACTGCTAATACTGAATTTGCTATGGTCTTTGTAATTTAGAGCTGACTGCTAATACTGACTTTGCTATGGTGTTTGTAATTTATAGCTGACTGCTAATACTGACTTTGCTATGGTGTTTCTAATTTAGAGCTGACTGCTAATACTGAATTTGCTATGGTGTTTCTAATTTAGAGCTGACGGCTTATACTGGTCTTGCTTGTACGTCAAACAAATTTTAAAATGTATTTCAAACTGTAACTTCCTCTGTCGTAATTGTAAAGATAGAGATTTCCTTCAACACAATTTGGAATTGCGAGTCAATATAGTATGCACCATATATGATGGTGACTCCGATTTCAGTCTGATTATCTTAAGCCTTTGTCCATCCAACATAAAACAACAAGACAACAGTTGCCCTCTCCTAGATGGGCCGCTGTCCCCAGCTATCGAGCCTCATCTACCAGGGCTATTAAAACTTGAAATTTCTGTTTAACAGCCATGATGTTATGCTAACACTAGACAAGGTGTTTCGTATAGCGGAATAGCAACTTAGTTTAATGAATTGTGACTATCGAATATTATGGCATTATTTTTTTTCAAAAAACAAGAACACGTTAGGGAGATTAAAAATTAAACATTAGTATTTGCAAGTTCTAAAAAACCAAAATAGATTTTCACGAGAAAAAGTAAATGTAGGTTGCATATTAAATGCTGTAAAGAAAATAATGTTTCGGTGTAGGTTATTAAAACTCGCTGGATTTCTGTGTACGAATTATAAAAAATATAAAAATACACACACACATCATAAGAAGATTGTTATTAAACATAAGCATTTGCAATTTCTTAAATATAAAGTAAATTTTCACGAGAAAAACTAAATGTAGGCTGCATATTAAATATAAAACTACACACCAATCATAAGACCCGATCTGAACATTCGTATTTTACAGTTTAGAGACAGTCGTACCAGTAGAGTGTGAACAAGCCCCGTGCCTGAAGCAACTGATTGTGTACGAGCTCAGCTCTCACGAGGACCATACAGCTCTCCTGTCTAGCCTTGAAGGTGAGGACTTCTATCAAGCTCACGGCTCAGCTGATGACGAGGCTCACATTTTCCTCACTTCCGGTAGTACCAGCTACTCCAAGATGGTGCTAAGAACTCACAGGTACGTGGACGGTCACTGTGAGAAAATTGATCAATCTAGTACTTTTATCTACTTATTTTTACACGAGGCTTGACTACAACAACGCTGAATTGATTTAACAAAAGTATAACTATCCTCTAAATTTATCTATTTAGTCCTTGGTCCAGTACAATAATTTCTGTTATAAAAGTTTGTATGGGTAGATATTAAATTCTGGTTAAACACCACTTACATTTTTTGTCTTAAGGTAAAACCAATGGTAAGCTCCTACTTTAATGTTTTCTCACCAAAAGGTCCAAACGGATAACCGGTTTTTAGTTATAAAAGTCAAAAGTAGAGCGCTCTACAGGATATTAGAGCGAAAAAAGCGGACCGTTATCTGTCCTGTGTAAAATACATCGGTGTATCCTGTGTACGATATATTGCATCTCTATCCTGTTTAAAATACAGCTGTTTTCTATCCTAAGTTAGATATGTCACATCACTATCCTTTTTAAAATACAGCTGTTTATCATATGTGTGAGGGTTCGGTTGAATTTTCATGATGAGTGGGGATGATGAATAGAGATGACAGAAATATCCAACACACGTTCAGGTTCAAAATACAATGTTCTTTATTCAAATTTATATAACTTACTTCCTACCTAACCTAACTAATCTATTCTTTACTGTATACTGTTCATACTATATGCTATCTACTATTACTAACTCTACTAACTACGCACTCCCATGACCAATCCTAACACTAACAGTTCTCTACATAACTACGTCTGCTCCATAATGCAACCTAATACCCTCTGCTCTCCTCGCTAGCTACTATCAACATCCGCTAATATAACTACTGGCCCACACCTCAGTGGTCAGCTGACCATCCCACGTGACCGGTCAGCTCCTGTACGTCAATTGGTCTCCACCCAACTATCTATAGTCTGTTTCTCTATCTACTTGACCTAAACTAGCGTCATCACACTATGTAAGATATATCGCACCTCTATCCTGTATAAAATACATCTGTGTATCCTGTGTACGATATATTACATTTTTATCCTGTATAAAATACATATGTGTATCCTGTGTACGACATATCACATCTATATGCTGTGTAAATACATCTGTGTATCCTGTGTACGATATATCACATCTCTATCCTGTGTAAAATACATCTGTGTATCCTCTGTACGATATATCACATCTATATCCTGTATAAAATACATCTGTGTTTATCCTATGTAAGATTATCGCATCTCTATCCCGTGTAAAATACATCTGTGTATTTCCCGCAGAGAATGTTTGAAGTTCGCTGACACCCTTGACTTCAACAGTGACGTATTTCTCAACAATAGGGAGATGGAATGGATGGCAGCATTTCCGTGCGCTTACCTGGGCAGCGGAGCCACTACCATAGTGCAAGAATACACGGACAGTTCCGTCAAAATTAGTTTACCGGATATTTGGAATATTGCCTGCGATATGGGGGCTACCGGTGCTATGCTGATACCCGAGGAAATGATGGTCGTTAAACAGGTTTGTTTACATTTGTTTTCACAGTTCATTAAAACTTCGATTCAACATAATTTTTGCTTTGTTTTAATACTAAGAAATTTGCTTGCATTTTTATCTCCAATCACGATGCATGGTAAAAGAACTAAATCCCCCCCCCCTTTTCTCATACATCCGCGATATGCGTACCTCACTTTACCTCCATTTATTAATTTCATTTTTATGTTTCGTAAGGGATTTAACAGGGTGACGGTGTGGTTTAATGGTAGAGCTTACGAAGGTCTCAAGTTTGAATCCTGGGTTCGAGTCTGCAGAACTTCCCTCAGCCTACAAATCCCCGATGGGTACCTGCCTTACATTCCTGCTGACCACACAATTCCCTTTGTTTGCCTAGGTCATTGAAACAGATGAACTCTACTGTATTTACCCTATGTGTCTTGGGCACGAACGGGAGAAAAAGAAGATGAAGATGTGTCCTTAATTCTGGTCACATTTTCTTAATTGTTTTACAGCAAAGTTAAACTACCATCCTTTTGATGTCTATGTAAAAACTAGTTAAATAGCAGCAAACGTCTGATTAAACGCGACTGTTACAAGTATATTAATAGTTCAAATTTTTAAATCTCGGTGATTAGAAAATAGCTACCTTAAAATGTCATATTTTAAACTCGGGAATTTAAAAAAAAATCTTATAAAGGACACACTTTTTAAATGCAGGGATTTCAAGACGGAATCATAACAAGACCTATGAAAAGAATTTTCTGCGGAGGTCAACCCATCAAAAAGGCAAGGAAACAATTTATACTTTTCAAAGATTTATAATTTCTGATGACGTTTGCACTAGAAATATATAATTATTTTTTTTAGCGCAATTTCCATTCTGGAGAATTGCGTTTATTAACTCGTCTTTTCTGAGAATGGATGGATGAATGGATGGATGGATGTGTGTCCGCAGCTTTAAGTCGTATCTCCTCCTCAACGAAGCAATATCGAGGACTAGTTCCAAAAGCAATTATGTTAAGCAAGTTACGAGGATGAACATAGGCCATAAAAATTCCGGGTTTCTTTCATGGATTTCCCGGAGAAGCCAAAAAAACCTGGAAAAATGCAGTTTTTGGCCCATATCTCGGCAACCAGACCACTTAGCGACTTGAAACATGTACCAATCGATTTCTGCCATAATTTAGAACAATATTGCCGAAGAAAGTTTTCAAAAATATCCTTTCGTTTGTTCACAAAAAATTTTTGAATTAATTAAAATTTGGACCGAATTAGTAGGCATTTTATGCAACCACACCACACGCGTCATCACGTTCAAAAGCTGCGCCATCACGTTCAATGGCTGCGACGTCACGTTCGGTAGCTGGCCTCGCAATTGTTTTTAGTCATGTTACTCTATTGTAAATAAAACATGTAAAATACTGAAAAAAAAATTAATAAAAAACGTTTTAATAACTAACCAATGGTTTTACTAACCCTGCTCTTGATTTACGCTACGACAGAGCTATTTTTAGATAACACAAGGAAATTGCGCTAAAACTGTCACTAGACTTTTTTGAATTACTTGTTTTCATTTATTAGAGAGAAGTAGTTTTTTTTTTTTACATTTTAAAGTTTATTATCAGTTGATAATCGTAGATAAACATACATTTTCATTTTTAATAAAATAGTGGGGGATGATTATTAGCTTTATAAAAAGTGTACTATTTTGCTTCTATAAAATCCAGCATAAAACAATCAATAATTTTCAATTACTATTGTCATTAATTAAAATGGCTACCCATCAGTGTGTGCTCGAGCTTGTGAACGTGATCTGTGAGGAGCTGATAACGATCTATGCATCAACTGACGCTGGGATGATCGTCAGTGGTCGGGTAACACGGGAGAACAAGGTAAATACTCCCTAGGTCGGGAAACACGGGAGAACAAGGTAAATACTCCCTAGGTCGGGAAACACGGGAGAACAAGGTAAATACTCCCTAGGTCGGGTATCACGGGAGAACAAGGTAAATACTCCCTAGGTCGGGAAACACGGGAGAACAAGGTAAATACTCCCTAGGTCGGGAAACACGGGAGAACAAGGTAAATACTCCCTAGGTCGGGAAACACGGGAGAACAAGGTAAATACTCCCTAGGTCGGGAAACACGGGAGAACAAGGAAAATACTCCCTAGGTCGGGTAACACGGGAGAACAAGGTAAATACTCCCTAGGTCGGGAAACACGGGAGAACAAGGTAAATACTCCCTAGGTCGGGAAACACGGGAGAACAAGGTAAATACTCCCTAGGTCGGGTATCACTGGAGAACAAGGTAAATACTCCCTAGGTCGGGAAACACGGGAGAACAAGGTAAATACTCCCTAGGTCGGGTAACACGGGAGAACAAGGTAAATACTCCCTAGGTCGTGTAACACGGGAGAACAAGGTAAATACTCCCTAGGTCGGGAAACACGGGAGAACAAGGTAAATACTCCCTAGGTCGGGTAACACGGGAGAACAAGGTAAATACTCCCTAGGTCGGGAAACACGGGAGAACAAGGTAAATACTCCCTAGGTCGGGAAACACGGGAGAACAAGGTAAATACTCCCTAGGTCGGGAAACACGGGAGAACAAGGTAAATACTCCCTAGGTCGGGTGACGAGTGAGAACAAGGTAAATACTCCCTAGGTCGGGAAACACGGGAGAACAAGGTAAATACTCCCTAGGTCGGGTAACACGGGAGAACAAGGTAAATACTCCCTAGGTCGGGAAACACGGGAGAACAAGGTAAATACTCCCTAGGTCGGGAAACACGGGAGAACAAGGTAAATACTCCCTAGGTCGGGAAACACGGGAGAACAAGGTAAATACTCCCTAGGTCGGGAAACACGGGAGAACAAGGTAAATACTCCCTAGGTCGGGTAACACGGGAGAACAAGGTAAATACTCCCTAGGTCGGGTAACACGGGAGAACAAGGTAAATACTCCCTAGGTCGGGAAACACGGGAGAACAAGGTAAATACTCCCTAGGTCGGGTGACGAGTGAGAACAAGGTAAATACTCCCTCGTACTTTAGTCTTTTACATGTCTCGAGTTTCCCTCCTCTTGCCCCTTACTTTGGATAAAGCACAGTGGCGTCACTAGGTCGGGTGTCACCCGCTGCGGTACCTCATGGTGTCACCCCCCACTCGAAGACAACGATGTGATATATATTAAGGTCTACATGGGCCTTTAAATATAGTTGAAATTAGTGACACCACATTCTCTGTTTGCCTAATAGCGTCAATTTGTGCGCACAATCCACCTATGTCGAAAAAACATAGTTTTTATCGTAAATTTTTAGATTTGTGTGTCACCCCCTCCAGTCGTTAACTTATCAGTTATTCAAAATACTCAATAAGGCTTAATTCCTTCGTCTGTTTAGTAATCCCCCCGTAATAGTTTTAAAATGTGCACAGTTAAAAGTATAGATGTTTTTCTATAGGCATTTATTAATGCAGGTGTATTAACTCTAATTAATCTTAGTTGAACTGCAAAAATGCATATTTCTTCTATATAGTCAGCAATTTTTCGCCATGGTGTCACCATTTAAATGGTGTCCGCACACCCCGCCCACACCTTGCGACACCTCTGCTTGGGCAGAAACCTAATTGGCTGGTGTGGTAGGACAAATTAGGCTGGTTTTTTGTTTTGTTAAAAAGTGGCGTACAAATATTTTCTAGTTTATCTGCTTGCTTTAACTTCATATTTGTTCCGTTTTTTTTTTTTAAACTTAGATGTCATTTAACAGAATTTAAATGCATACACATATTAAACTTATAGTTTGATTGTCCCCAGGATATGTTGAAAGATTGTTATGTTGGAGACCGGCTTTTGGGCAGTGTCCAGATGAAAATTGTGGACGAGCAAACAAACAGGGAGGTCACTGGCCCAAATCAAGTTGGAAAGTTGTTTCTTAAAGGTAGGCGTTAGACTTCTTATATGAAGAAGCTAGATTTTTGCTGGTAGGAATTAATTTTCACAAATGTATTAAACATTTTGTTTTATCCAAAAAATAAAACGAAGTTTAAAAAAAAAAAATTAAAACTGAAGGTAAATTTTTCACACATTAGGAGGCATGGTGCTGCGTCACTACATGAATGCTGACTCAACTGCAAGTGGAGTCATCACCGATGATGGGTGGTTTGACTCTAGTGATGTGGGATACATTGAGTATGTTAACATTAGATTTATTTGTTTAAAATTATCACTTATGATAAACCAATCAAGAACTTAATGCTTCTGTATTTTTGGGCAAATTATTAATTAAAATGTTACTGACACTACATTTAAATCACGTTATTACAAATTAAATAAACCGGGAGTGATCTCCCCTAAACTTTCTCGAATATTCTTATATAACTTGGAATATAGACATGATTGTTAATTACTTAAACTTTTAAAAATAGAATAGAATCTCATAGAAAAAAGAATTGCGCACCAAGCGGACACCAAAAAAAAATGTGCATAATAGTGCGCAATATTATTAGTACTTTATAAATTTACATGCGTTTTTTGAGAAATCGGAAATAGCGTAAATTAGTACTTCTGGTCAACGGAAATTACTCAAAATTTGACAGAAGGTAGAGAATTAGATCTATTACTTATATGTGAAATTTCATTTATCTATCTGAAATAGTACTCAAGTTATAGGCTTTTGAAAAATTCAAAGTAGAAAAAGTACCACTTCCGGTTATCGGAAATCGCTCAAAAGTTGACACGGATCAACGATTTTAGTAAAATACTTATATATGACATTTCATCACCCTAGCTGTAACGGTACTCAAGTAATCGTGTTTACACACACACACAGACACACAGACAGACAGACACACAGACATACGGACAAGATTGCAAAACTATGTTTTTCCGTGTCAGTGAGATGTAAAACGTCGAGATTTGTAAAAATCTCGATTTTTTTGTGCACGATTACAAGACTTTCTCTATACTTCGTATATACGAGAAAGTAAAAATAAACTATGTGTGATATAACTTTATCAGTGATGTAGGAGGTATCCACGTCATTGGGCGGACATCAGACACCATCATTAGTGGACCTGGGGTCGTGTACCCCCAGTGGCTGGAGGAGAGGATACAGAAATATCCAGGTGTCGCTTCAGTCGCCGTCGTGGGTACGGGATTTAAACTGTTTTTGCAAATGTAGCCTTTATGATTCACAATTTCCACATATACACACGCTTATTTATAATATGTTTTTGTTCATTAATTATCTCGATCAACACTGTTTTATCTCTCTCTCTCTCTCTCTCTCTCTCTCTGTATATATATATATGTGTATATATATATATATATATATATATATATATATATGTATATATTTCTATATTATATATATATATCATAGTCTAGTGAAAGAAAATTATTATAATTCAACATCAAATTTGCATGACATTTTTAAAGTGTATTTAACCCTTTTTTTTAATTTCAGTAATTAATGTGTTTAATATTTGACAAAAGGTTCTAAATTTCCTCATAAAATGACTCAAAGTTCAAGAAATCTGAGCCTCCAAGAAAACGACACAGTTATAAATAGAAACAACGACATTCCGCACCCGTTGTACGATTTTCCCGATGAAGTATTTTACATCATAGACATATTTCTGAACAGTTTTCTGATTGAAGTTCTAATTTTACTTGGGATTCTGGGAAACAGTGTCACAATCATTATCTTTTATTCTACAACGGTTTTACTGTGACAATATTGTTCTAACTGGTTTAGCACTATCTGATCTGTTATATTCGTCAACACATTTACTGTTGAAAGTATACAGATACATAGCGTTGGTCGATACTTACACAGCGGAAACATTTAATGTGATAACTTGTATTTGTTTTTATTACTTGAACCAATGTGCGCTGACTACCAGCGTCCATCTTGTGTCCGTCATCGCCTTAGAACGGATGACCGCTGTGTTATTTCCCTTTAGTATATCACGAATTATCACACCGTACCGCAGGGGCGTAGCGAGGGGGGGGGCGGGGGGTGCGGACCGCACCGGGTGACACCATTTAGGGGGGTGACACCAAGGCAAAAAATAGCAAAATATATAGAGAAAAACTCGAGGGGGGGGTGCAAATCGAAAGTTTGAGGGGGGGGTGCAAATCGAAAACTCGAGGGGGGGGTGCAAATCGAAAGTTTGAGGGGGGGGGTGCAAATCGAAAACTTGAAACTTTGTCCCTGGGAAGGGTCTCTATGCCTCTGGGGGGGTGACACCATTAAGTGCCGCACCGGGTGACACCCGACCTCGCTACGCCACTGCCGTACCGTATGTCATGTCTCGTCATTATAGTTTACATTCTGATAATACTTCTGTACATGCCATTTTTAGTCGAATACAAAATCATATGGACAACAGTTGACAACACTAATGTTTCTATTGCTTCACTTAGATAACGAGTTATATTATAATGAAGATACTAGGAAATTTTTACAACATCTATCGAACGTATATTTTTCTAGCTATTACCGCAGTTGTCCCAGGCATCATTATCGTCCTTTGCTCCGTGCTTATGGTCATTAACCTAACTCTATCAACTAGAAATATAAAAAAAATTATTTACGTTATTAAAAACTTCTACGAAGAGAGAAAAGCATATCAAATCAATTAAAATCAATTTAACTATTTGTGTTAGTTTGGTCGTTCTAGTGGTACAAATACTTTTGATATTTTGTTTGGCTATTGCGATCCTTATCTTTTTGGTCCAAACGTAGTAAGAACTACTCTTTCTCTTGTTTTACTACATTTCAGATAAATGCTTCTAGTAATTTTATAATCTATGTAACAATGAATTCTAAATTTTTAAAAACATATAAAATACTCTTTTGTTGTGGGAAATAAATAAAAAAACCGATGAATATAAATTAAGCTAGTTGGCACAATTAAAAATGATTCACCGTGGCGGAGCAAGGGTATGCAGCTAGTATATATATATATATATATATATATATATATATATATATATATATATATATATATATATATATATATATATATATATATATATATATATATATATATATATATAGACGTATTTTCTAAATACATTGCGTGAAATTGAAAGTTTACTGAGTTTGTGTTGTGGGACCAATGACTGCATTTTGTATCAGTTGAGTACTATTGTCCATAACAGCAAAAGTCTATCCAAACGTCGGGTTACCTTCCAATGCTGTATCCACTAAGTAAATTAAATTTGGAAATAACGAAAGTTGACACAAAGTTAAATTATGAAATTACGAAAGTTGACACAGGTACATCTAATTGTACTCCGTTGAGCTGGGTTATTTTCATTGCCATAGTGAAAAATTATGTTCTAATGAAAGTGTTGAAGCCTCGTCAAGTGCACGCATATACTCAGAGTGTCAATCACATGCTAAGCAAAGCAGGAATTTTGTTTTAAGGCATTAGAAAAATGTAAACATACGTTTCATTTAAACAACAATTTTTTTTTTCATTTCTTTTAACTGAAGCATTTATAGGAGTGGAGTAGACATCATGGGATATAAGTGTGTGCTGTGTTATGACCTTTTTCTGACGTGGAACTAGGTCGTCTACTTTAAATCTAATCACAATATCAATAAATGTTTATTTATTTTTTTTAACATTGATTACTTTTAATTGTGTATTGGCTGGTTATTTAATAATTTTTTTTTTGTTACTTATAAAAGCTTTAGGGTAATAACTATTGACATTGAAATGCAATTAGTGCTGTTAATTATTCACGTGTTTCTGATCCTTTGATACTCGTTTTCTCTTCAGTCGTAAAATCTTCACACCGTGAACTGGTCTATCACAATTCTCAACCAAAGTTCACATTGTGAACTAGACTTATATTCAGAATAACTTAAAACTAATCTAATCCACAACGTAGAACCCATTTTTTTGGAGAAGCATATTTTAGCTATACAAATCCATAGGCTGAGACATGAATCATTGTGCTACAGGCGGTAGTGAAGAGAAATATTTTGTCGAATCTTATTTGCCGTAATCAGAAGGCAAACTGAATATTACAATTATATTACACTAGCCGACCCGCGGCGTATCATATGCCGCTATTTAGTTGTTTTATTTTCTACTTTTCAGTAATTAA